AATTTATCTGTGAAAGGAATCAGGTTTGCATACTAAATTACTATCTTGTAAATTCAACTGAAGAGAATCATCTTGCAAGTAGAGGATGTTCATTTTTTTCTTCAATCATATTGTAAGAATTACCTTCCCTCATTCTTTTCCCCCTTTGTACTGCTATAGTAAGAACCGTTTTGCAGAGGAGAATTTTAGTAACAGATGAACTACATTGCTACCCAACTTGTTTTCCTTGGGACATTAATTATTCTAAACATGTCTATTACATTGAAATTTGAGATTTTTTATTATTTTATTTTTACTTTGACCCTTTAATTTGTATAATTTATTAGCATATCTAATTAAAAACAGTCAGTGGTATTGTGGATATTTAAAAAAAAGTGTTGCATTCAGCATTGGATTAGTATGTCAATATATGTTAGCTAAACATGATTTGATGAATTTTGACCCGATTCTGACTATGTGATTGAATAATAATAAAAGCAAAGGTGGGGGACATTCTTGATGGACCATTTGAGGGCATATGATTTGCAGGCCTTTGAAAAAGGGTATGGGGCCTCATGGAAGGAAGCATTCAAGAGTGTTTTATCTTGAAATCACAGTTTGTGAAAGGTGAAGGTAAGTGGGTATTCATGGCACTGCAACTGGATTGCTGGTTGTTGAGCTAATAAATAGAGGGCTTTAAAGGAAATAAAGAGAACACAGGCAGTCTATAAACTTTACGTGATCAGGTTTAATTGCCCTCTCTCTAGTGTGTGTTGGACCACCATCTCTCTCTCTCTCTCTTTCTAGTGTTGTTCAGTAGACAAAAGGAACATTTCTGTTCTTTCCTGCTGCCATTCTGCAAGTGGCAATGATGAGAAAACGATATCATATGTCTTCCAAAGCAGGCCTTTACAGTGTCTAAGTCGGCCATCTCACCAAGAACACCTCATTAAGAGGAACAACAAATGGCACTTGCCCAATAGTTCTCTACATGCGTTATCAGTGAACAAATGCGAGATTACATCAAACTCATTTAAGAGCTTGCTAGCAGGATAACGTCTCACTCAATCATATTTTCAAGTTCACGTGTTGAAGGCCCGCCCCATGACTTAAACTACTTTTTAGGGTTTAACACTTCCATCCTCTTCCCACAAACCAAAACCCCCTTTTATCGGTTCTAAGGACTCATAGATGAACCGCCGTCCTCCATCACTCTTACTTTTGACCAGGGAGGGACATTTCACCCGAACAGGATGGATTCTGGTCCGACCTGATCCGGTTGAGTCTGTTTTTCATTTTAAAAATTTAAGTACGAATCGAGTGTGAGTTTATGATACTCGATCCGACCTCACATAATATTATAATTATTCATTATATATTTAAGGGTAATTGCAATAATAACATTTTTATATTATGTTTTAAACAAGTTCTTAGTTTACCTAATAAAAAGAATATATATATATATATATATATGTCGGATTGAGTGCATGTTTTGACATAAAAACTTGATCAAATTTCAGGTCACATGGGTCCTCTTAAACTCATATCGGATCAAATGTAGGAGAGAAATTTAAATTTTAAGTTGAATTTGAGTGGATGAAAAACCTGATCCGACCGAGCCATAATGATCCCAACTTTATACTTAACAAAACTTTATCTTATTGTTAAGTTGATGTCTGTTTTGTACTTGTGTTGTAATTTAATGTTGAATGTGAGTGTTTTGTGTATGGCAGTAATAGAACCAGCCTAATTGGCATCAATTTCAGAACCGAAACCCCATTTGAAGCGTTAGGCAATTGTCATACCCAGCATGTGACCCAATTCAGTATTTTACTACTAATAATCAGTTAATTACATCCACGCGTAGACACCAAGTTATTCCATTTCTAACTAACGAATCATTCCAAAATTCTTATTATTTTCTATGCATTGGATTAAAATTTCAAACCACTTATTCATTGAATTTGTTGACGATCAGAGATGGTCAAAGGGAGTAGATGGGTCACGCCTAAAAATTTTAAGTTAGTATATATTTTCTTTATATTTTCAATTGATAATCTGCTTTCCTCCATAGAATTTTATATGTTCGCAGCTCTTAAAATTTTAGAGGTTCACCCTAACATAAAATCGTGCATATATCTTGTTGACGATAATACTTTTTTATTTCTCCATAATTAAGTTTTTTTCTACCTTTCAAGGTGGCATTACATTGAATCCACGTATTTTAAGCAGCTATGAAGTCTCGTTACTTAAAGAGTAAGATGGCAGTAAGGTGGCAAATTGCGTATTTAGATATTCGAATCTATCTTTAGATTACAAAAGGAGGATATATGTTTTTAAAAGGATATAAACCTTGGTCGTCCAACTTTTAATGCATTTATATTTTTAAAATTCAAATATTGGACGTATGATTTAAAATTTAATGTTAATTATAATATATTTTTAATTGTATTTTGAATTATAAAAAATTATAAAAGTATTCTTGGAATTAACTAAAAATAAGTTGATCTTTGATTGAGATGAGAAAAGGTGTTTGCAATGGTATAAGGCTCTCTTAATCCATTTATTTTTCTTAAAATATGTTATATTCGTGTTTATTGCAACTTTATTTCAACAATGTTTGTTATTGAGCCTGATTGTAGCAATAAACCTAGGGTTCCTGAATTTTTTTATATAAATATTTTTTTAATAGTATGGGTGATTACAAGTAATATCCGTTTAGAATTTTCTTAACCAATACAACTATTCCAACTCAAGACTTTAAAAAAATATTATTCTCTTTTACCACTAAGACTACTTGATAAATTATTTTTAAGTTGATTGTAATATATTTTTTTGATTAAGCTAGAGGTGATTACAAAGTAATATATTTTCTAAATATTCTTAATTATTTGACAATGAATGTTCAATTACTCATACAATTGCTGGTGCTCGAACCCGTGACATCTAGGAGCAACAACTACTCCTTTAACCATTGAAGTAAATTGATTTGTGCATGTTAAATGTAATAATAAACCCAGGTCTCCGGATACTCAACCAGCTAGCATCATGAAGGATAGTGGCAGTCCATAGTTGAAGCAAAATAATCACACTTATCTGCAATGCAAAGGCTTTCAAATTTCTTTAGTTCAGCTATACAATCGTGGATGGATCGAAGAGGGCCGGGTACGATCGCACCTCTTAAAATTTTCAATTTTTTTATATTTTAATTTTTTTTAAAATTATTTAATTTTACACCTCATAAAATTCTATAACTCCGCATCTCTTAAATTTTTATATTCTCACTCCTTAAAAACTTATTCGTCCATCCCTCGATACAATTCACCTGGAATGGATCTATCATTTGAAAATTCCATGCATCACAACTAAAGGTAGCGGAAGATCTTTATTCCAACCGGTTGCTGTTTTCTCGACGGAAAGAGACATGAGTTAGAGAAATCCATTTAATTAACTTAATTTGGCAGATAGATGACGTTTAGAAAGCTTAATGACGATCAACAATTCTCTTAAGCTCATGTGTATTATAGCTGGTTACTTTGGTGGTTTTTATTTTTATTTTTTAAATGTCAAGTCGATTTTTGTTATTGGGATAATGAGAGTTAATGATAAGGGATCAAAATTAATATTTTTTAATGCACAAAATCAAATTAGCGGATTGAAAACATGAGAGACCACCAATATTGTTTATCCAGTTAGAAATTAACTCATTTTACTAGTGTACCAAATCATCAAACTAAAGGCGTTTACCGTCTAAATGATCAAAATATTATAAATCAATAACATAAATAATAAAAAAAATCATAAATTAATATGGTAAATGACCAAACGTTATCATTTTAAATTTGGTGACAGAATATAAACACTTATAAAACAAGAGTGACCATATCGGTTTACCCCATTTTTTTTAATTTGCAAATCGAATGACTAGATCAGTACGGATGATAGAATGGTTTAACCTATATAATTGTATTGATTTGATTAATACCTAGTCATCTCCTCCAATATTTAAGCGCCTCGTCAGCCGATGGAGGACGTAAAAAGCCGACAACCCCAAGTCTCCGGCCACTGAACATTTTAGCTTAATTAACGATAAGACAGCCGGCGAGTGGCAGTGGTCCTAGGTTTGAATGTCATTTTTTCTACCAGAAACCCACAATTTGCTGCTATTTCACTCATCCCTCACCAACTGCTTAATTAAGGTTTCATTTTCCTTTTGGGTGCTTTCATCAGCTTCAAACCTCGAGTTCGTGTTTTTTTCACATGAAATTAAAAAGGAAATGGATTCGTGGAACTCCCTGCACCATTCAAGCCTCATCACCAGTCAACTGCATTACCTTTTTCCCTTTCTTTTTTTACTTTTTGATAGGGTTAACATTCAATCGAGCCGAGTCGAAAATTTTCGAGTTGATTACTCTTATTTTATGACTCAAATTTTATTTTAATTTTTTTAATTGAGTCGAATATTTGAGTTTCTGTTTAAATTTAATTATAAATATTTATAATATTATGATGAATGGTACTATTTATTCTAATTTAAACTATTTTCTATAAATATAATACATATATATTTGTTCATATGTATATACATATATCATTAAGAGTCAAATGACTCAACTCAAACCTGAAAATCAAATCACTAATTACTAAAATATTCGAGTTATACGAGTTATATTTTATAACTCGACTAGAATTGAAAAAAATTTCTAATCAAGTAAAATTTATGAAATTACAGTTTGAGTCAATTCAAATCAAAATTTTCCTAGTCGAGTCAAAAAGTCGAGTACTATTTAATTCACTCCTATTTTCTGGCATTCTACGCACTATCGGTGCCTTTATATATACCCGACATTAACCATAGCCCACCAATGAAAATATATTTAAACTATATGTTTAAGAAATTTTTTTTGCCAAAAACTGTTCTTGGGTCTCCATCATCGTCTTTCTCTTTCGATCCCTTTATTTAAAACTCTGTCTCCACATTGAAACGAGAGATATCTGTTGCGAGAAAGTGGGGTTGAAGAAGGGGAGATCTCCAAAATCGGTGTCTTTCTCTTTGTGGGAGCTGAGCTGCAACGAGAGATCAGATGGGGAGATCTCCTTGTTGCGAGAAAGTGGGGTTGAAGAAGGGGAGATGGACGGCCGAGGAAGATGAAATATTGACGAATTATATTAATGCTAATGGTGAAGGATCCTGGAGATCATTGTCCAAACGTGCAGGTACATTTGGTTTATACTAATGATCAAATGATGAGTTTTTGTTCGATAATTTAGTTCGATTGATATATCTGTTTGGGTTCGGGTTTGGAAGGTTTGTTGAGGTGTGGGAAGAGTTGCAGGTTGAGATGGATAAATTATTTGAGGGCTGATTTGAAGAGAGGGAACATCACTCCCCATGAGGAAGAAACCATTGTTAAGTTACATAGTGCTTTGGGAAATAGGTACATCTCCCTTCTAATTTCTACTTTATTATACTACTTTCACATTATAATATACTATTACTCCCTTGCTTAAAACCATCATTGTTTTTTTAATCCATTTTAAGTCTTTTTTGTCTTTTCATTGAATGACAAATTACCCTTTTTTTAATCCTATTAAATTTAATCTTTATTTTGACCCTCTAATTTTTATCTCTACCACTAAACAATGACCAAATCTTTTAACATAACGATATTTTAAGTTTTTAAATTTAAATATAATTAAATCAAATTCACGTTTCTCTTAATTTTTAGATTTAATTACTTAATATATCATTGTTCTTTCGATATAAAATAATTCAATCCCTCTCTATATTTGATCCCTACTTCTTCCTTGCCCCTAAACATATATGTAACAATGCTTATGATTTTAAAGTTTTTCTCGGTAAATTTTGAGGATGTATTAGAATTTAATTATAATTAGACAATTTAATATTTATTTATAAGGGCAACCTTATTTTTTTCTAAAAAAAATGCTCTTTGGTTTTTTATCCGCAAAAGATAGTTTTTGTAAGGTTGATGCCCTTGGTATTTTCATAGTATTTTTATATTAAAAATAGAAAAAAAAATTGTACAATTTTTTTTTTGAAATTTGTGACTTCCACGACATTCATTAGTTCCTTGAGTGGTCATAAAAAAACATAAGCAGGTTGTTTGATGATAATGTTTAACAGTGTTTGGCCTGCATTAGGTGGTCTTTAATTGCAGCACAATTACCAGGCAGAACTGACAACGAGATTAAGAATTACTGGAACTCTCATCTAAGCCGAAAAATTTATAGTTTCAGCAAGACCATCAACGAAACCAAACCCACCGATCTCCACGCTATAACCAAACCCGCCGATCATCGGAAACGAAAACCCGGCCGTACAAGCCGATCCGCCATGAAAAGACAAAAGCTAGCTTTAATGCCACTCGGCAATAGTATTCCTAAAAGTACTGACAGCCAGGGAGAAGAAACCCTAGAAATGCATGGCTGCTGCATGCACAACAATGCAAGGCGGCCCGAAGGCAATAATGGCGAAGAAACCACAGGTGGTGGGAACGAAAAGGAAGCCATGGGACCATACGAGTGGCTCGACAACGAAATAAAGCGCCTCAGCAGCATTCTACAGCGAAGTGATCGAGGCGTGGATCCAAGTGGGAACGGTGGGGTTCTAAAAGATGCTGAAAACGATGGCGTTCGGAACTCGTTGTCCAATAATACGCAGATTACCGATCGTCGTGGCGATGAACGGTGGATTTGTAACTCGTCTTCGTCGACAGGGAATTCAGGGTTTGTTTCGACTGGTGGTTTACGGTGCTGTGAAGATGATGATGAACAGTGGGAATTACTATGGGATGATTCCGATAACGTGCTTTGTTGGTTATGGGATGAAGGCAATGACGACGATGAAGTTGGAAAAACACCAAATTAGTGTGACATTAATGAAGCTGTCGGCAATTGGCACTAATATTAAATTATATAATTTCCATTTTTTTCCAAATTATTTTATTTATTGTATTAAGTGTTTTTGGATGAATTTATATCTTTAGTTTTTAAAGTATATTTTTTTAATTTGTGGGATTATTTTTTTCTATTAATTCGGTCGTATAATCAGATATATTAATTAATTATGTAATTAAAAGATGTTCATTTTATTTCACTTTATATGAATTTGAACTTTTACATTTATCTTAAAATATAATATCTTTCTATAAAAAAATCAATTAATTTTCCATCTTTCATGTGATAACCAACTATTACACATATTCACATAAAAGAAGTTAATATTAATGAAGTATCAATTAGAACGGTAATTTAAATTTATATGGTGATTTTGATGGTTAAAATTTTTTTTCTAGAGATTTTAGAATCGAATAATTATGTTTTTGGAGTTTGTGACCGTTGTCAATAGGTTAAGAAAATTCTGAACATATATCATCTTGTAATCACCTCAGATTATTCAAACAAAAATTAAAGTGATTAATGTATAGTTTTATGAGTTTTATATGTTATCAAAATATGATAAGTTAATTAAAAATAATACCTAATGTTATTCTTGAATTCATTTTTGTTTCCGTCGTTAAAAAATTAATAGAACAATTGAAATGACATTTTTCTTAATTTTTTTCAACGATATTATCTTATAGTGACACATGAACATCACTTTTAATTTTTAAGTTGTATTTTCTTATTATATTAATACTTGTGTCACGCCCTTGGAACTTCGACGCCTTGGAACGTGCGGCCTTAGTCGTTTTCTTAGTGATTGCGGCTAAGTAAGCCTGAAAATATCCTAAGCAAGGATGCTTAGAACCTCGACGGAAGCTAGACAAGAGAACTAGCACAAGAAGGAAGATAAGAAAGCTTTGAGAGAAGAATGTTCTTATGATTTCTCAAAGTGAATGAGTAAGTACAAATGAGGAGGGGAGGCCTCTATCTTTGTGGTTGAGATTAATCTTTACCTACCAAAACAAGTGGGCATTATCTATACAAATTTAAATGCCACCTAAGTCTTTGTGGCTTTTAGAAGGTCCAAACCCCCATTTGGGCTACTTCTCATGGGCTAACCTCGGTGGTGGGCTTTGGTCCGTGACATTCTCCCCCACTGGTTCCGGTGACACCCTCATTGCTCGTTTGGCATGATATTGGTCTATTCTATTTTTGAATTGCCAAAGTCCCTCGGCATGTTCCCAACTCCCTTCGCACTCGGGTTGCCCCTTCCACAGGACAAAGTATTCATGCCTTGGGCGGTGTCCTGGCCGTCGAATAACCCTCTCCGCTTGTATATCTTGGATCTCTTTGTCATATGAGACCGCTACTCCGACTGGCGCTCGGTATGACTTGCCTCGATCTGGATCCTCGGTATCCTGATGGTACGGCTTGAGCAGGCTAACATGGATAACGGAATACGCTCGGATAGTTGGAGGCAACTCCAATTTGTAGGCCATGGTGCCTACTCGCTTCACGATTCAGAATGAACCCTCGTATCTTCGCACAAGTCCCTTGTGCACATCCGCATGGCGCAAAACATTGGCCAACTTTGCATGGACAAGGTCGCCAACTTCAAAGTTCACGTCCCTTCGTTTTCGGTCTGCCCACTTCTTGGTCCGCTTTCCCGCCTTGTGCAAACAAGCTCGGGCTAAGTCGTGTTGCTCGTGCCACTCCTTGGCAACGATGTGTGCTAATGGATTGGGCCCTTCATACTTGGTAACAACCGTGTTGGGTGTCAACGGTTGTTGCCCGGTCACGATCTCGAAAGGGCTTTGGTTTGTCGCCTCGCTCCGTTGCAAGTTGTAGGAAAATTGGGCCACATCCAACAGCTTTGGCCAGTCTCGTTGGTTGGCACTCACGTAGTGCCTCAGATAGATCTCTAATAGAGCATTCACTCACTCAGTTTGCCCATCGGTTTGTGGATGAACTGCGGGGGAAAAGTTCAAGCTTGATCCCATCAGTTTGAACAACTCCGTCCAGAACCTCCCAGTGAACCGCGTGTCTTGGTCACTAATGATGGTTTTTGGCATTGCCCAATACTTCACCACGTGCTTAAGGAAAAGTCGAGCGGCCTCTACAGCTGGACACACCTTAGACGCTGGTATGAACGTCGCATACTTCGAAAACCTGTCAACCACAACCATGATACTTGAAAGTCCATCAGTTTTAGGCAAATCAATAATAAAATCCATGGAAATACTCTCCCATGGGCGTTCAGGAATGGGCAACGGTTGTAGCAGTCCCGCCGGCTTCTTCGCCTCGATTTTGTCTTGTTGGCATACAAGATAAGTCTTCACATAGGCCTGCACATCTTCAGCCATGTACGGCCAATAGTATTGCTCCGAGAGTAATGCCAATGTTCGATCGACTCCCGGATGTCCCGCCCACTTGGAATCATGTCACTCCTTCATGAGCTCCTTCCTTAACTTCCCATACCGAGGTACAAAGAGACGATGGCCTCGGTGGTAAAGCAAATCTCCTTCGAGCCAAAAATCTCGGGTTCGTCCCTCTTTGGTTCCCTCGATGATTCGTTCGGCCACAGGATCATGGGGTAATCCTCCTTGATTCTCTCGAGGAGAGTACCTTCCACAGTCTCGATGGCATACCTCCGGCTTAAGCCATCTGCAACACAATTCACCTTCCCGGGCTTGTACTCCAAGGAAAAGTCGAACTCGGCAAGAAACTCTTGCCAACGAGCTTGCTTGGGAGAAAGCTTCGTCTGGGTGAGGAAGTAACTGTTGGCAACATTGTCCGTGAACACCACGAACTTGGACCCAAGCAAGTAGTGTCGCCATGTGCACAAGCAGTGTACAACTGCTGTCATCTCTTTCTCATGAACCGAGTACCTCCTCTCGGTCTCGTTGAGCTTTCGGCTCTCGTATGCAACAGGATGTCCTTCTTGCATGAGAACTCCACCAATGGCAATATTGGATGCATCAGTGAAGACTACAAAAGGCTTGGTGTAGTCTGGCAACACCAACACGGGCTCACTCACCATGGCCTCCTTGAGCTTTTCAAAAGCGTTGTGGCATGTCGTGCTCCATTCCCACACCTTGTCCTTTTTGAGTAGCTCGGTCAAGGGTGTGGCAATCTTTGAATAGCCCCTCACGAATCGTCGGTAATAGTTGGCTAATCCCAAGAATGCTCTCAGTTCGGTTACCTTGGTGGGTGGCTTCCACTCGTCAATTGCCCGAATCTTGTCCTTGTCATCTGGAGCTTGCCTCCTCCAATAATATGGCCTAGGAACGACACTTCCTTTTGCGCAAACGAGCATTTTTCCTCCTTGACATAAAGCTCGTTCTCTCGTAAAACTTGGAACACCCTCCTCAAGTGTTCAATGTGTTCTTCCAATGTCTTACTATACACAACGATGTCATCAAGGTAAACTACAATAAAACGATCAAGAAAGGGTTGTAGTACCTTGTTCATTAACGTGCAAAAGGTTGTAGGAGCATTGGTGAGGCCGAAGGGCATCACAAGGAACTCATATGAACCATAGCGTGTCACGCAAGCAGTCTTCGGTTCATCGCCTTCCGCTATCCTGACTTGGTAATAGCCCGATCGTAAATCTAGTTTGGTGAACCACCTTGCACCACCAAGCTGATCGAATAAGTCCGCAATGAGGGGAATGAGATACTTGTTCTTTACTGTGAGCTTATTTAAAGCTCGGTAATCTATGCACATCCGTAGAGAACCATCGTGCTTCTTTTGAAATAGCACCAGTGCACCATAGGGGGACTTGGATGGTCGGATGTATCCGGCATCGAGAAGATCCTTCAATTGTCTGCGTATCTCCTCTAATTCGGGCGGAGCCATTCGGTAAGGGGCCCGAGCGGGTGACTTTGCATTCTCCACCAATTCAATCTTGTGATCCACCTCCCTTTTTGGAGGTAACTTCTTGGGTAACTCGGCATGCATCACATCTCTGAATTCCACCAATACTTGTCCCACTTCTCTTGGGACTTCTTCGGTCATTGTGGGTTCAGTTTCCACCAATGAAGCCACAAAGGTGGGTTCCTCCTTGCGCACCCCCTTTGAGAATTGGATTGCGGACAACATCTTGGCCTCGATTCCAGGCCCTCGGCTCACTAGAACAATGCATTGTTGCTTTGGATCCAGGATGCACAAGCAATCGACAAAAGGCACTGGGAAAGCATTTATTCGGTCCAAAAAACTTAACCCAAGAACAAAGTCGAAGTCATCGAGAGGAATTACCTTGATGGCTTCCTTTCCGGACCAACCTCCGACGGTTAGCTCGATTCCCTTTGCGACCCCCGTAATTGGAACTTCCTCGGCATTCAGGATTTTGATGGATCCCGTTGCCTTCTCCACATGAAGGCCAAGTCTCTTGGCAATTTGTTCGGACATGAACAATTCTGAGGCACTTGTGTCCACCAGTGCGCTCATCTTTTGGCCTGCGATGGTGATGTCTACGTACATCAATCCCTTCTTCTTGCGGCCCTTCTTGACCTCCATGGTGCTAAGGATGGAGCCAAGTTTGAGAGTCTCACTCTTCACCCCATCATTCTCTTTGATGGCAGCAACTTTCACAAGTTGAGGACAATCTCGTTTCATATGATTTCCTCCACAAGAAAAGCATGATAATTCTCCCTTCTTCTCCCAAGGATTGAAGAGCTTTTTGGGTCGATCATTCGGCTTCCCATGATTTCCCGTTGGCTTGTGAAAGTTTCCTTTGGCCTTCTCTCCCCCACTATTACCTTTGGGTTTCGACCTGGATTGGAGATAGTCGGTCCTTTTTACTTCAAACGGGGCAATAGCCTCAGCTGCATCTAATGCCTTGGAGAGTTCGGTCACTCCCCTCCTTTGGATCTCCATGTTAGCCCAACGTTGTAGTCCATCCATGAATGCAAAGTAACCTTCTGACTCGCCCAAGTCCGGGATTTGCATCTTGATCTCTGTGAAGTTTTTGACATACTCCAAGATGGATCG